TTAGGATTTAACTTGAATGTCCAGATGGTGACATGAGGAACTAGTATTGCATCTTTTTGGATTCTATGTAATTTAGGTGAGTTACTTGGTATTTATCTGTGGGTTTGTACAAATTTCGAGTATTGTCAATGACTTATTGTTGATAAGTAGTATTGTGCTGGAATTAACGGATGAAATAAAACTGGTATTTCAAATTTGGGACCCAGCTTCTATAAATGCTAGAGATTTACAATAGCAAGCTATTCGAAGGTCCATTTAGAGGTTGTTTTCAGATTAAGGCAGTGAGCAAACCTCAACATACTAGGCTTGGTAAAAACTTAGGTGAATTGTGCAGAGTTTCATCCTTTGCTGGCATATATTGGACTCTCATGCATTGTTGTTGAAGTTTAGCATTTGATTTGAACAGTCAAATGGGTGGAAGGTGGAATAAAGTATATGCACATCTTGTTGGACTCTAATTAATCGAAGTGAGTTACTTGGAATCTATTTGGGTTGTTAAAGACTTGAAATATTGTTAAAAACATAGTAGTGTTCTGCAGGAAAGACGAAAAGGTCAATTTGAAACTGATATTTAGGTTCTAGATGTCCCAAGAATTAGAAGAAAGCATATTGCAGCAAGGTTCTATTATAGGTTGTTTTTTAACATTCTACGGCCTTTATGGCAAAGTGTAACAAGAACATACTAACTTTACTAAGTTGGTAGATTTATCTAGAGTTGAGTTCCTTTACGGCAAATATAGGACTCTTATGTAAGGGCATTGCACTTTTAGGGTTTAACTTGAATATTCAGATGGTTTATATGTGCTTGTTGGATTCTGAGATTTAGTTGGATTCTATCTCATGACGGCGAATTACTTCTATTTGGGTTGTTAAGTATCTGGAATATTGTCAGTCTGTTTTATGGTTGATAAGTAGTGTTATGGAGAAAAGAAAAAAAGGTCTACTAGAAACTGGCTTTTAGTTTTTAAAATCCCAAGAATTACCAGAAAGCATAAAACACCCAAGATTCATTTGGAGGTTGTTTTTTACCATTCTACAGGGTTTATCGCAATAAGTAACAAGAACATACTAATTTTATTGAAAAGTCTGTTTGATTGTGCAAAGCTTAGTTCCTTTGATTGCAAATATAGGATCCTTATGTAAATGCATAGGATTTTAGGATTTAAATTGAATATTCAGATCAGGATACTAGGAATTATGTATTGCATCTTTTTGGATATTGAGATTAGGTTGGATTGTGTGTAACGAAAATGAGTTATTTGGAATTTATTTGTGGGTTTGTTATAATGTTGGACTATTGTCAATAGTTTTATGGTGGATAAGTAGTGCTCTGGTGAAACAAATGCAGAAAAGAAAGAAATGTTAATCAGAAACCGAAACTCAGGGTCTAGATAATTTGAAGAGTTAAAAGAAAGCATATTGCACCCCATGGTTCATTTGGAAGTTGTTTTTTGGACCAGTCTACATGGTTTAAGGCAAAGAGTAATAAGAAATTAGTGGAACCGTGCAGAGTTTTGTTCCTTTGCAGGGAAAAATTTCACTGTTGTCTATGGAGGTCACAGTGTGGGGTTTGAATTGACTATTTAGATGGTGACAATAAGGAAGAAAAGTATTTTGCATCTTGTTGGATTTTGGCAGTGTATTATGGAATTAAAGTTAATCTAGGTGAGTAATCTGGAATTTATTTGTGGGCTTGTTACGAATTTGGGAGATTGTTTAACAAAATTTTATGTGAAATAAGTGGTCTTCTGATGAAATAAATTGGTGATAAAAAGGGTGTCATTAGAAACTGATGCTAAGGTTTTAGAAATTCTTTTTTTTTTTGTCAAAACGATAATGTATTATTAAAACTTGGTACTACAAAAGTTCTACAAATGTGGGCAACTGCCCATCAGATCATCTTGTGCCATCTGTTTGAGCCACTGGGGACAGCTAAGCTTCCACATTATATTCTTCACTAATGTTGACGCAAATTTTGCTACATAATGACCTAGACAATTCCTTTTCCCACTAACAAACTTGAAATTACAAACTGAAAACCAATCTGCTAACTGAATGATGTCTTCCACTATAGTTGTCACTGTGTGGTCCTCAATTCTTCTTTCTTTTATCATGTTGACCACATTTTTACAGTCAGATTGCAATTCAATTTTCGTCTATCCTGCATCTTTTGCCATCAGCTGAGCCTGTTTGATTGCTGCAGCTTCTTCCACTATTGCTCTTCCTTTCTTTAGTTCCTGCACTGCCCTCACTTCTACTAGTTCCCCTTTCCAGTTTCTTGCAACTATCCCAAGTCCCGTTCTGATCTTCTTTGCAGAAACAGCAGCATCCTGTTAATTCTTATTGTATCACACTAGAGAGGAGTCCATCTTTGGTTCATCATTTGTTGTCTTGGTTGGTCCTCCATTTTCTCCAGATTCCCCTTGTTTACCTCTGTGTGTTCCATCCATTTTTTCTGAGCTCTCCTGATGGTTGAGTTGCTGTCCATTCTGTTGCCCTCGAACATGAATTTGTTTCTTGGTTTCCATATTTGCCAATGTATATTGACTGTGAGTTCCAAGTGCCCCTCTCTATTCTCCACTTTGCATGCATCTGTAAGACATTCCCACCATCTCTAAAAATTAAACCTCAGATCATTCAAGCCTTCCCACTATAATGGTGCTAATTTCCATGTCTGTTGCGTATTGGTGCAAGAAAAAAACGTGTTCAAGAGTTTCTACTTCCTCTCCACAACATCTGCACATAGGATCACCCATTTTTGTTCTATGGAATATGCATTTTTGAACCAGGAGTACTCTTGTAAGCATTTCCAGAGAAAATGTTTATGCTTATGTTTAATGTTCAGGTTCCACAAACCTTTCCAAACTTTATCCTTCCTAGGTCCAGTACTAGCCTCCTCATGCTTTTCTTTTTCACACTGGAGTTTCTTCTTCCTCTGCTTAGCTAGAGCATAGCCTGTTTTCACAGTATACACCCCAGATTTGGAATGTCTCCAGTACATCCGGTCCTTTCTTTGGAAGCAACTGATATGAATTCTTTGTATTTGCTCTACATCTTCCTGACAGAAAGTTTCCTTCAGTAACTCCATATTCCACTTGCCACCTGATAAAAGTTGATCGACTGTTTTCACTCTACAAACTGTAGGTTTTCCGTTCTAACATTGCCCTCTTCTGTATTAGATAGCCAATTATCATTCCATATAATCCACTGCATTCCCGTCTCCAATCCTCTTCATTATTCCTTTGGCTAGCAATTCTCTTGCACTGGATATACTTTTCCATACCCAACAATCACTGTTCTTCACCTTGCTTTCAAAAAGGTTTCTATCTCTCAAATACCTGGCTCTGATTACTTTGCTCATCTGCAGGTTTGGTTGAATTAAAATCCTCCAACATTGTTTGGCCAGGAGAGCTTCATTAAAGTTTTCTAGGTCCCTGAACCCAAGTCCACCATTTCTTTTAGTTTCAGTGATCTTGTTCCAACTTACCCAGTGCATTCTTTGTCCGTATTCGCCATTTCCCCACCAAAAATTTGCAATTCTTTTACAGATCTCCTTGGAAGCTTGAAGCATGATGGTATTCAAATCTCAGTCTCAGCTTCTAGAAATTATAGAGATTTACAAAAAAGCATCATTAGAGGTTGCTTTTGGTGATTCTACAAGGTTTAAGCAAAGAGTACCAGTACATACAAGGCTTAGAAGTTAGGTGAATTGTGTAGAGCTTTGTCCTTTGCGTGCAAATATTGGACTCTCATTTAATGACTTTGTACTGTAGCATTTGATTTGAATATTGTAATGGGCCACCAGTTGAACAAAGTATATACGCATCTCATTGGATTCAGAGATTTTGTTGGACTCTCGTTAATCATGCGAGTCACTTGGAATGCATCTGGGCTTGTTAAAAATCTGGAATATTGTCAATGGATTTCAGAAAAGTACTGTACAGGAGGAAAAATGTCAATTAGAAACTCAACCTTCGGTTTCTGAAAAAATGTTCATTTTGAGCAATGATTAAATAGAACATACTAAGTTTGGTTAGAAGTTTGCTAGCGGTGTGCAGAGTTTTCTTACCATTTTTCAAGGATTACGGCAATGATCAAATAGAACATACTATGTTTAGTTAGAAGTTTGCTAGTATCGTGCAGAGCTTGGATCCTTTGCACGTGATTGGGGGACTCATATACAAGGACATTACACTTCAGGATGGTGACATGAGCAGCTAAGTATTGCATCTTTAGGGATTCTAAGTTACTTGGGATATATATGTGGGTTTGTTACAAGTTTGAGTACTGGCAATGGAGAAATTCCAGAGATTACGAGAAAGCATATTGTACCAAGGTCCATTTAGGAAATTTATTTTACAAGGTTTAAGGCAAAGAGTAACCAGAACATAGTGGGCTTAGTAAGAAGTATTGAACTCATATGCAATGAGGTTTGCTTAAGCGTTTGATTTGAGTATTCGTGTCGGTGACAAGTTGAACAAAGTATATGGGACATCTTATTGGATTCCAAAATTTTGTTCGACTCTAATTAGCGTAGGTGAGTGACTTGGAATCTATTTGAATTGGAATCTATTTGGACTCTTAACACAGATATATCTCATTTCTGTTCTATTTTTGTTGAATCCAATTTGTCCTGATGCTTATATTGAGATTCTGAAAAGAGAAACTAAGGACTAACCTGACTTGTCAAAGATTTTAAAATTGGCGGCAGAAAATTTCTTTAGTTGTCAACCAGCAACAAATACTCGATTCCTGATTTGAACTTTGATTCTTCACTTGTGACAATATGCATGACCAACCTTCTTCGGTTTGATAAAATACCATTGGCCATCTGAGGATCTAATGTTTAACTGTAGAAGGTTGAGTCATCCCCTATGACACAACATAACTTGCTCAGTACGAACTCCCTTGTCCGGTTCCCCAACTTCACTTTCATCGTCTTTCTTTTCCTTTTTCCAATTGTTGGTTTTAACAGTATACAGTTTTCCGTTCAACAGGGCTCATAACTCAAAATCTTGTCGTGAGTCAAGAATGAGCAACACATTCCCGAGTCTTATTGAGCTGAGTTTGGATTTAAGAATATGATCTACTGTATGAGATGAATTCCGGCCTATGTTACATGGACCTGGGGGGTGCGAGAGTCCATTATAGGTGCACGTATTGCATCTATGTCGAAGTATCTGATCCTAGTATTTGAAAATGATGGGATCTAGGGATATGTGTTCAAATTCAGATATGGGTGCAGGGATTCGTTTCTTATACTCGTAGGTGCACAATCATTCTAAAATTTATCCACAATCATATTTGAAACTTGTGCTAATAAAAAGTTCAGTTAAATGTGCAGTTAGGTTGAAATAAGAAGGACGTCTATGCATTTATATATAGAGTGTGTATATCTGATTTAGTATCATCGTCCATAAACTGCAATTTAAATAGTACTTTCAGAAATGCAGTACCCGTGAGTCTTGTTTTGGGCTTCTTGCTCTCACAGTCGAAGCTAAGCCATTCATGTATAAACAACAAAATTAGTCTCACTTATTTAATTAGCTAAACAACAACTTTATATAAATCCCAAAAACTCATCTTATTTAATTTGCATCCCGATCATGTCTCACCAGGTAACATTAAAATGAAAACTAGAATTAACCAGGCACGATTCAGTCATGGATTCCACTTCAAGAACAATCTAGGAGCAGGATAATTGACTGCTAATGGGTTTAAAGGGGTATTGATTATCGGCTGCATAATTGAAACTGAAATTGCCGTGTGTAACGCCGTAATAGATCGGCTGGCCACCGTTAACGAGGCAAGAGCCGCCACCGCTTTGAGAGAGGACGGCGGGGTTAATCTTTTCAACGCTCTGAAAGCCAGAGCAGGACAGTTTGACTTGGGTTTGAGTGCAAGCGCAACTGTTAAAGATGGTGAGTTTAAACTCCGGTTTGGATTGTACCTTTGCCCCTGTTGGAGCCTGCAATATGATTAGACTTGATAGAGAGCATCCCTGAGCATTTGCAGTGCCTGCAAGTTAAAATAAATTACTACTACCAATTAACAACATAACATATATTATTTATTAATTCCAAAAAAAACACATTATACACATACATATAACTACTGATGAAATGCATGCATCAAAAAACATGTAGTGTATATATGTATATATATATATATATGTATGTATATAGTTAGCCAAATACATGCATTGTATGTCAAAAGCAGGCCAGCCAAAAGTTTTGAAGTTGATAACACTACTATATATCTCCCACTTTAAAAAAAAAAGATGTTTTGAAGTATAGATTTTAAAGAAAATTTATCAATACACATCTCTAATTTCATTTTTTTTTCCAAAAACACAGTGTGCACATGCGTATATGTATATGTATATGTATATATACATTTTCTACGATTCTTTTCGAAATTTGCTGCAGTGGATATAGTGATGCATTTAGAAACTATACCTGCGCTCAATAGACCAAGAAAGAGAGACAAGCAAAGGATCTTGAAAATGGCTGCCATCTTCTTTGTTCTTCTCTCTTTTCAATGATTCTGAATCTTAATGTGTGCTACTTTTATCTGCATATGCATAAGAGAACTTGGGAATTTATATATGCAAGACTTTTAGATATATATGGAAAACAAGCATTGGAGGGTAAGAATTAATATGCGTGCGAAGGGGAATCCATATATATGAGATGGTCTATTCACAATCGACCAGGTTTAAAGGTGTCTGTCTGGTTATCAACGAAACAATTAAGACGCCAAAGATTTTTGCTAAAGAACAAACAAAGAATCTCTCCATGCATATAAACCCGATTATATTTCCTTAAATTAGAGATTTTATTCTATCAGCGGTGCATTTGATACATTGCATCCAGCTGCATATCCCAATTATTTTTCTTTTTAAAGAAAAATAAACCCGATATTATTTTTTCTTAACAGAAGCACTCGTTAAGAGATGCACTAGGTGATCGATTTGGTGTTGTCCTTTTTTTCTTTGTATGGTAAAGTGACTAAATACAGATAGTGGAATTAATGTGATTGCGTGCATTTGTATAGCAAATCAGATACAATTGTCAAAAAAATCATTTAAAAGATGGAGAGTTATTAATGTACCTTTGATTGACATCCAAAAATTCCACTTATTGTGATTTCATATCATTTCTATTTGAAATGTCCCAGATTGAGTTGTTTTAAATGTTAAAAGAAGATTCTCATTAACACATTAATTCCCTTGATTTCTGTATTCAAAAGGCAATCACTTTCGATTTATATTTGATTCTCTTTAATTTATTTCCCGCAATGATCTGTATCCTCATTTACAGATCTCTTTTCATTTCCCAACTTTTCCTTACATTCTGATTTCTGACCCAAGTTCTCCCAAATTGGGATGGCAACGGGGGGTCACCCGCCCCGCAGGAGCTAATGTATGGGGGGTGGGTGGGACGGGGATGGGGGGAATTCCCCCCCCCCCCCCCCGCGCTTAAAAATGGGGCGGGGGTGGGGGAGTGTACCCCGCCCCGCCACCCGCTTTAAAAAAATAAATATATAATATATAATTATATATATAATATATAATTGAATTAGTTACAAACTTATGATAATGATATTATTAGTTATATGTATTCTATAATGTCTATTAGTATATATAATATAATTGATATTATTAATTATACTAATAATTATATATGTGTACTAATACAAATTATTAATTGGTTATACTAAATTTACTAATATATTTATACTAAATCCCTAATTACACTTAATACAATAACATTTTTTTCTTAAAAAAAGCACAAGCACAATAATGAATTAGTGATTGTATTTGTGCCAAAAGTGAAAACTTGACTACTTTAGTTATATTTATTTCATCATGTTGGATTGTATTCAAATAATTTTTATAAGTTTCAATTGTAAAATTACAATGAATAATAATTTGATGAAGTGTTGATATTTTAGTACTTGATTATTTGCTAAAATTTAACCATAATAAATTTATATAACAATTTTTTATTAGTCCCGCGGGGGCACTCGCAGGGGAAGCGGGGCGGGGCGGGGGACGGGGGATGGGGCGGGGGCGGGGGCAGGGAGAGTTTGTAGGCAGCAGGGTGGGGGATGGGGGAGGGGTCCCCCGCCCCAACCCCGCCCCGTTGCCATCCCTAGGCACATATGTGAGTAGACATAAGTATACTTTTTTACCAGCATTATCATATTCTACCGGGAAAGAGAGTCTGAAGAGACTGTATAAGGAGCTAACAAGTATATTAATCCAATTAAATCAAAAGGGTGCTCTGACGCTACTTTTGAATTTTTTTTCACTGCATGTAAGATTTGAACCTCTGACCTATAATTTAAAGAGGAACTTAAATCCCTTTTTGAGGGAAAGAAGGTTTTCAAACGAAGGGAAACTATAAGTTAGAACATCGGCAAGTTACAAAGGACTTTTTAATATTTAATCATATTATTTATAGCAGTGTTTGGATAGGTGAATTATTTCACATAATTTTTCGTTTACACCATAAACACATTTTTCAACCCATCTTTTTATATTTTTAATTATCTTTTTATTTCATATACATCATATCACAAAAAAGTGCTACATTATTTATTTCAAATAATCTGTATCCAAACTCATATTTCACATACAATCGTTAGTTTAGACAGTTGTTGTTCAATTTTCAATTTAGTTAAAATCACGGGATACTAAAATGTAGATTTTTGAACTATAAGGGGTTAAGTTGAACATTTAACAAATTACAAGGGGTTTTTTTAGTATTTAACCCAAATATAATCAATGAAGGCACTTGTTCAATTGTTTAAATTTCTTCCTCTTTTAGTTCAATTTGTGGTATCTCTTTTATCATTCTTTCAAGTTTTAGGGGTGCGTTTGATAAAATTGAAATATGAAAATTGAAATCTAAATCCATTAAATTAGTGAATTGTTAAATACTAAATTTGATATATTTGAGTGCATATTACATTAAATGACCAATGAATAGCCTATAATTTATTTTTGGAGCAAAATTTATTTAGAAATTTCAGTGTTACTTAATGAATTCAGATATTCTAGTTTTGGTTATCAAATGCGTTTGAATATGTTAAGATCTGAACATATTAAGTTCAAGTGTTGAACTAGATTATCAAACATGACCCATTTAATTAATATTTGAACCCATTTAGTTTCATATTCTCACTTGCCATCGTGCAAGGGGAAAAAAAGGACGCAAATGCGACATACAAGTTACTAAAATGAAGAAAGAAATCCCAACTACACAAAGAGTATTATGTTATCTCATCTTAATTATAACTGGTTCCTTATTGATGGTTGAGCAAGTTCTAAAACTTAGCAACTTTTCTTTTCTTTTTTAGTCAATTATACTAGGAACGACAAACTCAACTTTCAAATTTCACCTTGGCTTGTGTGAAAATCCATAAAAGAAATTTACAAAATCCATCTCATAGGACAAAAAACAAAAAGATTCCAATTATTATTACATCCAAATTAACACCTCTTTTTCCTTTTTTTTTTTTTGGCAATGAACCTCATAAAATATATGTGAAATAAACAAAAAAAATTTTATTTCCATTTATTTCTTCCCACGAAATTCAGGTAAATATATGCATGGCAATGGGAGCGAGTGCCCGCGGGGGGCTCTCGGGGCCGGGGTTGGGGCGGGGGAAAATTTTTCCCCCTGTTTAGAAACAGGGCGGGGGGCGGGGGAGTATACTCCCGTCCCATCCCCCGCCCCGCCACCAGCAAAAAAAAAAAATTATATATATATAATTATATATAATATGTAATTTAATTAGTTAAAAACTTATGATAATGATATTATTAGTTAGCTATATTATATAATGTATATTAGTGTATGTAATATAATTGATATTATCAATTATACGAATAATTAGACATGTCTACTAATAGAATTTATTAATTAGTTATACTAAATTTACTAATACATTTATACTAAATTTCTAATTACACTTAATAGAATAACACTTTTTTCTAAAAAAAAAAAACACAAACACAATAATGAATTAGTGATTGTATTTGTACCAAAAGTGAAAACTTAACTATTTTAGTTGTATTTATTTCATCATGTTGGATTGTATTCAAATAACTTATTGTTTTTATGAGTTTCAATTGTAAAATTAAAATGAATAATAACTTGATGATGTGTTGATATTTTAGTACTTGATTATTTATTAAAATTTAACTATAATAAAATTTTATTAACCCCACAGTACCCCGCAGGGGAAGCGGGGCCGGGCGGGGGCGGGGGAGTTTGTAGGCAGCCGGGTGAGGATGGGGGTGGGGTAGGCAACCCCGCCCCGTTGCCATCCCTACTCCCAAACAGCAAGCCTGGCCATATTTCGGACCGGACATTTCTTGCCATCACAATACGGGGTGTTTTTGGCTCACCCCCTTTTTTTTAAACGGCTTTTATAACATCCAACTCCATTTTAACAAGCCCAAAATCCATCCAAAACCCATTTGTTTAGTCAATCCTAGGATTCTACTATAGTTATGAAATTTATCTTTATGTCATCTTATTTTGTTGCCCATTAGGGCCATTGAAATTAAGGATGTTGAATGTTGATGTTAGTCAAATTAAGCATTCTTATCATATGGATACGAATCCATAGAAAAAAGTTGTTGGGAATGAGTAGTAGTATAATAATGGAACCATCCACCATGGGGAAGGAACCTGCAGCCTGGACAAGTGGATAATGGTAATGCCCACACAGTGCCTTCCTTGGTAAGAAATTTGGTTAGGAACTCAAATGCGTAGCAGGTACCTGATTTCATTGATTGATTGATTGAACCCGAATCAATAACTACACTTTCTCTAATCATTTACCATACCATACCCTACCTGCAGCTTGTTGACTTGGAACTCCAACTCAAAAAGATACACTACAATTAATAAGGGGGAACAAGTTCAGTGGCACATCATTTGTTTCATCACCAACCCAACTTGGATGTGTTTGATAATCCATCATTCGACATCGACATCTGTGATCTATCTTCGATGACTTCTTGAAACATTAAGTAAAGATTAAAATATCATAAAAGAAAAGAAAAGGAAAAATTGGTTCTTATATTGACCTCGATCTACTAGCCAGTCTGCAACTGGCATGGCCAATATCACAACATATTTAGCGAGTTGCATGGGCTTCTGTGTAGTAGATTATTATGTTGTCACTTGTCATGCATTAGTTACTTCTCCTTTTTTTCTTGCCCCTTTTATCCGGATTATGTCTTTTTCAATACAGTATACAAGTTCTTGCATACATAGTGGAACAGCAATCTAACTATCTGAATTGTCCATAATAACCATCATTTTTATCTGTCTAGCAGTTGTAGCTTGCCAGCAATTAAACGTTCTACCAAGCTGCAATTAGGAATTTGTAAGACAATCTAGCTAGCTACCCGTGATTTGTCTATGTTTCTTTTTCTTGCAAACAGAACACTGGTTTGCATATTGACATAAATTCAACACATTCTTCTGGCATTGAGGAGTTGGGTTAACATCGTATTCCAGGCATCTCCTTTGGAACCAGACAAAGAAGTCCTTCAGCCTTTTAGAATGTGTGACAAGCAGAAGGTTTAGCCCCAAAAGAGAAGTAAGATTTGTTTTTGATATTGCTAACCTTCTGGGGATTCGATCTTTAGCATCGTCCTACACATCTAATGTTGCTGCTTGGATCATATTATGAAAGTGACAACCCAATATTTCTGGCAAAAATTAAGAAAAAGAAAATTAGCGACTAGCTGCATCAATAATTAGAAATGGCAAACTTTCAAAAAAAAAAACAAAGGGAAGTAAGAAATAAATAGCAGAGACACCCACGGTGATGGAATCATGTGCATTTAGGTGTACATATAATGTTTACAGTCAGTTTCCGATTGGTGAATGCTAGCAATAACCAACTTTTTCTTTTTTTAATCTGTAGTAAGTATAACTCAATAGCAATGTTGTTAACTTGTTGGCAATTACATTTTTCTAGTATGCAGAATCAGGGACGCAACTGAAAAAGTGTGAAAATCAACAGTGATTACTTGCCATTTCTTGAAAACACCTCACAAGATTGCCTATTGACATATATTCAAGAATATTTTCAGGCATTTGAGGTGTTTTTTGAGGAGGAGTCGTCAAGTGCTAAGGCACATCATATCCTTTTCAAGAATACGAGAATATGCATATTTTCAGAGAATGACAAGAAGAAGGATTAGGCCCAATGAGAAGTAAGATTTGTGCTTGACATTTAGGGGTTCTTTAGCATCATCCCAATTCCCACGTAATACAGCTGTTTGTAATGTCTCAGTCGTATGAAAGTGACCAGTGACCACATTGCAATACTCTGAAGCAGCCAATGTTTTTCCCAGGAAGAAAAGAAAATTACAGTAGCTATTGAATCATGTGCATTAATGTACAAGATTTACAGTCAGTGAAACCGATCGGTAGTAATGGTTGTTATAATAAAAGATAAGAAATGATGGTCCTTGAAGAAGGGATCTTGAAGATGACATGTATATGTTTCTAACAGTTTCCCAATCTTTGAATTGCATAAGAACATGGTAATTAAACAGGTAATTAATCTTCTTTATTTTAGGCATTATTCTATTTAGGTGGATAGGTCCAACAGCTAATTAAATGGTCGCTAAAAGTATAATAACCTGTTATATTAAACAAGTGCAACCCGTACCCAAACCGCGTTCACCTTCTCCATGTAGGACTTGGAGAGTATTAGATAATCTAATCCCACGACCAATCCCACAACCAATCCCCTCTCCGGGATAACCGAAAACTGTTGTGTGGGCAGTCCAAATTCGGCGGGGCAAGGATCTAGCCTGCGAACAAGAAGCAACAGAGGCAGGCGGGACTTATCCCCTGTTTTACCTCCCATGCTTACGTAGCAGGAGATTGTTTGTTGTTACCTCAAACAGAAGAGATTTTTGGTTTTGAGAGTCCACTTGCATCTGAGAAAGTGGATTATTTGGCAGCTATTTGCGACTTTACGATACCTTTTTAACTATTTAGGTGTTATTACGAGTCAAATTAGTTATATTGTGAGCCTTTTTTTCCTGGAATAAAAGGTCTAAATGACTTCGGAAGAATATATTGGGAACAATCAGTTTGGGGTTCTGAGCCTTTTCCTAGAACGAAAAGTTTAAATGATCTCGGCAAGGACACAATATTGAGAATTAATCCGAACAATCAGTTTGGAGCTCCTCAAAATCAGGATCAGGTTTTGGGCCCACAGTATGCACTCGTGATCTTCGACTTCTAATGTAAACATCGTTGTCCTTGTAGGTACCAAACCTAAAACATGGGTATGAACCATGGTTCGAAGACTCGGTCGAGTCGTCACCGTCTCGGTCTAGTCCGAGACGAGATCGCGACGAAACGATATCGAGATACGTGACTTGTCGAGACGTCACCGTAAAGGGTTGAAACTGCCGAGTCTCATCGAGTCACTCCAAGTCATCCCGAGTCAATTCGAATTTTTATTATTTTTACTAATTTTTTAATTATTTTTATCTATCATATTTTTTACAATTTTTAGAATATTAAATATTTCAAAAATTAGTGTCTCGCCGAGACCGCAACCGATATGCCGAGACCGATGTGTAACGGTCCAGGCCGCGACCGCGACTTTGAACCATGGTATGAACTACTTCGACCTTCATACAAGGAAAAAGGGGTCCTATGACTATTGCTGCTACTGACAAAATATTCTCTCTTTTTTAGAAAATATCACTTCGTACCCACAATTGTAGTTGATCACTTGAGTGTTGGGCTGTTTTAAATTAATCATCCATTCTTATTTTGGTTGTTTTTGTGCCTTAAAATGGTTGCGTTCATGATCTCATTTTTAAGCCAATATGATGTCCAATAATGGAATCAAACACCAACTTTTCCTTCATTTTTTTTTTTTTTGCTTTGAAAGAATTAAACATGGTAGGAACAGAATTTATTTATTTCGTATATGAGGACTCAATTAATATGTTTGAAAATGTAATGTAATGCCAATTTTGTCAAATTAATTACAGCGGTAACATATAAAACATTGCATTTCCAAACTACATGCCCTTAAGCTCTAAGGTTACTCAGCATCTTTCCTAAACTAATCATAGACTAGCATCTTCCTTTTTCTTGAGATCAAGTATTAAATGATTAATGAAAGCATATTAAACTGCAGGATTAAAGCTGACTCAACTTGAGCTCACTGTATGGTTCCATGTCTTAGAAGAGGCAAACATGCAGCCTCCACCAGTTGCCCCCCACCACCAAACAAAGCATGGATAATTTCCCATCCCCATAAAATTTCTCAAAATCAAGAAACGTCCAGCACCAGATAAAACTCCCAACTTGCAGTACTGTCTCAACGTATCTGCCGGAGCAGCTAAAAATCCTTGAGTATGTGCTTTTCTATTCAACTTTGGTGAGAATCAAGATTTAGCACCATCCCATTTGCCAATGACATCATAAGAGTCTCCTTCATACACTACCTGCTTTTCCTGAATCATCAATCGTTGTTGAATATTACTTTCTTCAGTATATATACATACATACCTCTAGTCCTTTTAGATGGCTTCTTGTGCAAAGGCTGCTGATAAGTTTGCTCCAAATACGCTACTCTACGAGATGGCCTCGTTGTTGAATATTCTGGGGTTGTGTCTATGGCTTTTCCTAACCTGCCAAGACTCTAAGAAAGTAGTTTCCCAGAACATCACTCAGGGCAGTTTGTTTATTAATGGCTCGGCCTCAGTTGGGTCGACGGACGAAAACTTCATTTGTGCTACATTGGATTGGTGGCCCCCTGAAAAATGTGACTATGGCGGTTGTAGCTGGGGGAATGCTTCTATTCTCAATCTGGTGGGTTTGCCACTTCTACGGTCTTCTGACTTTTCTTCTTCTAGTTCTAGTTGCTTATTGCTATCCTGTTTCTTGCTGGTTTTGTATTTGTAGTTAGGTCCTTTTCTAGCCGCCTTCCCAGAGGATGCTTAGTCAACAATATGTTAATTTAGAGACCTGAATCTCCCTTGACATTGTCCGAAAGTCATCTTCGTTTTTCGTGTAGAGTTCACCACTCAATATAAAAGGACGGACCCCGCCGCCGGGCCCGGGGGCGGGGGGGGGAGGAGGGGAACTTCTTTTAGGTTGTTTGTTTGTCTTCGCCGGCTATGGAGTATGACTGAAAGAAAAAAAGGCACTTTCTTTATCTGGCTCATTTCATAAATTAAAGTAGTATATTTTAGCACCTAAGAGTGTGAACTCAACACTACTGTTATCTGTCTAGATGAGAAACATGTTGATTCAACTTTGTTCCTATTTTCTTGAGCCATTTAATTATGCTACTCGTTTACTAATACATGGTCATGTTTTCTTTAGTATATTTTCTCTACTCACCTGTAATTATGTGTCAAGACAATGCGATTGATTAGTGATGGCCTCTCAGGAACAAATGCTTAGCTTGAGTAAACTCTATCCAACCTTCTTTTACTAATTCTCAAAGTCGTGTTTCCTTAGGATCTCAGCAACAAGGTTCTGTTAAATGCAGTCAAAGGTATGGGGTCTATCACTATCTTCACAAGTCACTGACTGTTTTTAAACAATCATATCCATCAGAAAACAAGAAGATATAACTGAGCTCATACCTCCTTGCAGCCTTTTCTCCCCTGAAAATTAGACTCGGAGGAACTCTGCAAGATAAAGTCGTCTACCAAAACGCAGATGGACCACGATCATGCAACGAATTTGTTAGGAGCATCGAGATGTTTGGTTTCACTGAAGGCTGCTTACCCATGTCAAGATGGGATGAACTTAATAAATTCTTCACATTAGCAGGGTAAGATTCCACTCAACATTTTCTTTCTTAAGGAATCCACTCACCAATTGAATCCTCAAGTAAAGAAAACTTTACAGAAATGTCAATCTTGTTAATCCAAATAAGCCTACTGAATCGGTTGCCTTTTTTCCTACTGGGGCTTTGTAACAGGGCTGAGGTCATTTTTGGTTTGAATGCATTACATGGAAGAACAATAGGTCCTGGTAATAATGTTATAGGTCCTTGGAACTCCAGCAATGCTGAATCTCTGATAAAATATACTGTCAGCAACAACTATACCATCTATGGCTGGGAACTTGGTAAAACCTCTTATCCAACATCTGACTCCTGTATTGAATCAACTGCAATTACCTATAGCAATGATAAGAGAAAGTGCACTAGAAAAGAAGAATGGCAAGAAATTATCTCTCTGTATTTTTACAACACCTTAGCTGGATTAAGATCAAAGATGCACTAGGCAAGTCTTTTCAGCCATTTCAGGTATATAACTAGGCATAACTATTTGCTAATTGATGCTTCAGGAAATGAATTAAGTGGAAATGGAATCGGAGCAAGTGTTGCGGCAGATCAATATGCATCAGATGTGATTCATCTTCAGAATATCGTGCAAGATGTCTACAAGGGCTTCCAGAGTAAGCCACTAGTCCTGGGGCCTGGAGGATTTTTTGATGCTGGATGGTTTTCCCAGTTCATTAACGAAGCTTCCAACTCTCTTCAAGCTGTTACTCACCACATTTACAACCTCGGTCCAGGTACATGCATCTCTTTTTCTCACTCAGCCAATCGGCAATTCAAGTTTAGCTTTGCTGTGCTATATTCTCTCTGCTAAGTCTGCTGCTTCAACGCCATGACTACTCTCCAACTGAACTGAAGCTCTTCTTTCGTGTAGGAAGTGATGATCACCTGGTTGACAAGATACTCGATCCATCATACCTTGATGGTGGCTCGCAGCCATTCCGTGACCTTCAGCGCGTCCTCAAAACTTCAGGAGCCTCAACAAAAGCATGGGTTGGTGAAGCAGGAGGGGCATATAACAGTGGGCGTAATCTTGTAACTAATACATTTGCCTTCAGCTTCTGGTAAATTGAATCCGTTTTCAAAGTTCTTTTTTCCTTCTAACAAATGAATGATTCAGTTAGTCCTCAAAGAAATAATCTTTTCTCGGTGATCATTAGGTACTTGGATCAGCTTGGCATGGCATCCTCCTACGACACAAAAACCTACTGCAGACAAACACTGGTTGGCGGAAACTATGGTCTACTCAACACTACCACATTTGTCCCTAATCCTGATTATTACAGGTAATTTTGAATCAACACAGATACACTCAAGCGGCATACTTACACAATAAATTTCAAAAGAGTGCGCCAAACTATTTGGAAACCTTCCTAAGTTGGTTCCTGACCAATGTCTTAAGTTTTTACGTCTACATTCTTCGTGCAGTGCTCTTCTTTGGCACCGTTTAATGGGAAGGAATGTCCTAGCAACAAACTTGACAGCCATAAAGAACCTACGTGCTTATGCTCACTGCTCAAAACTTTCTGTACGTACAATATGTATTGCTTCAATGAATAAACCATATAGCAACGTTGACTAGAGAAGTTTGGAGTAGATATGATACTTGTACAGTTCTATTGTGCATGAGTTCTTGC